TCAGCCAGAGTTCTTTTTAATTTTTATCTGAATAGAGCTGACACACTGGACTGGATTTTTTAAATCATATTAAAGAATTAATGTTTACCTTGTTAAGGGTGATATTGTTAATATGGTTATCTTATTTAAAGAGTCCTTATCCTTCAGAGGAACTTAAAAATCATATATGAATAAAATAGTATACTGTTTGGGACTTGCTTCAGCATAATCTGGAGGGTTAAAGGGAGTGGGGAGAATAGAAATGAAACAGGATAATGAGTTAATTGTCAACCTGGGTGATGGATACAGAAGCAAGCATTCATTGTACTAGTCTCTCTATTTTTATATTTATTTGAAATTTTCTATAATAAAGAGGTTTTTAAAAAGCTACTTAAGATTAAATAGAACACCTTCCTCTTCTGTTATAAATAAGTCATTTTTCCTTTATAGTAGTTTTTCTTTCCAGTACACTCAAGCAAGGACAGTTGTGCATATAACTCACATTAACAACTGGCCCGAACATGGTCAGAGTAATAAGAAGTTGGATGGCATGATCACAATCCAGAAATAATTTGACAGTTTAGAGCCTGAGCCAGATCTAACAAGGAAGATTTAACAGAGATTAATGTAAAATAAAATCCTACAGGTGTGTTCAAGCAAAGCAGCAGTACAGTTCAGCATGGGGAAACACAAATTCCTAATGGCTTGTATAAAATGGCATCAGCTCAGGATGAGTCAGCAGCAGGAAGGAGATGCCAAACTCACCTACAACGTTGAAGGATACACAACAGGAAGCCCCATGCCCACTCTTTTCCTGGGCTAGTCAGGCCACTCTTGGAAGTCTGGGTTGGGTTTCAAGCATCCAGAGGATGTGGTGTCTATGGGAGAGCATCCCAAAGCAGAGTAGGAAATGGAAATATTCCACCTGGAGAAGGAATCCAATGAAGGGAAAAACCATCCTCAACTATTTGTAGACCGCCATGCATAAGAGGACTTAGGGTTGTTCCCTATGGCCACAGAGGGAAAAAACTTGGACCAATGAGTGGAATTTATAAGGTAGGACTCACCTGAGCATCCTGTGAAAGAGAGGTGTTACCTTCCACAGAAAGATGGGCTGCTGATTGTGGAATGATGTTTTAGAGAAGACTTCAATGTCTAAGTGGGGAATCCTTTTCAGGGCCTCTGAAGTTATTTCTAGCCTTGAGAGTCTGAATCTTCATAAATTAATTAATAGTGGTAACGCTTGAAGTAATAATGGTAATATCTCCGATTTATTGAGTACTTATCTTGTTCTAAGAACTGTGCTGAGCTCTGGCATGCATTATATTATTTAAGCAGTCCATCAGTCAACAAGTAAACACTTCCTGTCCAGTATTACATAACATACAAACAATATATGACATAGTCCCTCTCTTTAAAGAGCTTATAACCTAGTTGTTAATCAAAATTTGCACACATGAATGAATATGAATATGAGGGGGCACCTGGGTGGCTCCATCATTAGGCGTCTGCCTTTGGCTTGGGTCACGATCCCAGAGTCCTGGGGTTGAGCCCTACATTGGGCTTCCTGCTTGGCGGGGAGGCCCGCTTCTCCCTCTCCTACTCCCCCTGTTTGTGTTCCCTTCTCACTGTCTCTGTCAAATAAATAAATAAAATCTAAAAAAAAAAAAAAGGTATATGCTATGGAGTATAATGCCTCCATCAGAAAGGATGAATACCCAACTTTTGTATGAACTTGGATGGGACTGGTGGAGATTATGCTGAGTGAAATAAGTCAAGCAGAGAGAGTCAATTATCATATGGTTTCACTCATTTGTGGAGCATAAGGAATAACACAGAGGACATAGGGAGATGGAGAGGAGAACGGACTTGGGGGAAATCGGAGCGGGAGACAAACCATGAGAGACTGTGGACTCTGAAAAACAAACTGAGGGTTTTGGAGGGGAGGGGGGTGGGAGGTTGGGTGAGCCTGGTGGTGGGTATGGAGGGCATGTATTGCATAGAGCACTGGATGTGGTGCATAATCAATGAATTCTGGAACACTGAAAAGAAATTTAAAAAATAAATAAAAATTTAAGAAAAAATCTATATGAATATTTTCATTTTATAAAACATTTTCATGTATATTATTTCATGTATTCTTGGAAACATCTCTGAGAAGCAGGTATTATTTTTATTACTACAATACTAACAGTTAATATTTTAAATCACTCTCTTCCTCCGTGAGTGCCCATTTCCAAATTGCTCATCATGAACCTAGTTCTAATCAAGAGAAGACTATTTTCTCAATTTCCTTTATTTTTATTTTCCTCTTGTCCCAATAATAAGAGAGTTAAATAAAAAAATAATAATAATACAGGGACATCTGGGTGGCTCAGTCAGTTAAGCATTTAACTCTTAATTTCAGCTCAGGTCATGATCTCAGGGTCATGGGATCAAGCCCTGGGTTGAGCTTGGCACTGAGCATTTAGTCTCTTTGAGATTCTCTCTATCTCCCTTTCCCTCTATCTCTTCCCCCTAACCTTCCCCCCCACACTCTCTCTCTAAAAATAATAATATAAATAATCCATGTTTTTAAAAAAAGAAGCAAATATTCTAATAATCTAATGAAAAATATTCCCCAGCAGCTGAGACAAAAAGGTAAACATGCTAAATTATGTAAGTTTTATTATCCATAAACACTTTGAGACTTTTATGTTGTTCTTGGTTTTAAAGGCAACAAAACAAAATGGACCAGGTCTGGGTCTTTTTTAAAGTTGAGCTTTGAAACAAATGTTTACTTGATCTTTTTTTCCCCTTCTATTTTATTTTATTTTTTATTCTACCCTCTTTGCTTTATTTGAGCTTGTATTCTTCTTTTTTTAATTTAATTTAATATTTTCAGTGTTCCGATATTCATTGTTTACTTGATCTTAAGCAGGAAATCTGTGAGCACATGCAAATAGTCAGAACTAAAGGTGGGACTGAGAAGTCAAGTTTGGAGGGACTGAGGCAAGTGTCAGCCTCTTGAAATAGAAGAGTCCCCAGGTATCTGGACCAGATTTCAGAACCAAGGACAGAGCAGGAATCTGAATAAACTAAGCCTCTGCCTTCGAAGACCAAAGACATTCTACCCCCAAATCTATCACACACACACACACACACACAAAGAAAAAACAAAATCATGCATATGACATTATATAAATGCAAGTTACAAGCATGGACTCTAGGACTCTAGGCCCCAACCACTCAGGTTCAAACCCTGGCTGTACCACTTGCTAACTGCAACCTTTGGCATGGAATCATCTTTATGTCTCTGTGCTCCTTTTTCTAATCTATAAAGTGAGGATAATCATGCCTACCTCATAGGATCATTGTGAGGATTAAACTATTTATGTGTGAAATTCTCAGAACAATGTCTGAACAGGTGGAAATTACTAAATAAAACTTGGTTTCATTTATTGATTTTCCAGAGCCTTGAGATCTCAGGTGGGGGGAGGAAGAGGGAGTCAGAATGCTGCAGAGTCTTACCGGGAAAGGGGACAACTACCATTGAATCATAAGGAATGAGGACACAGGGACAGCTTTTGACCATGTTCTCCCACCAAAGACACCAAGGGAGGTGATAAAGAAAAGCCGCCCCCCTGAGGTGACCCAGACTTGGCACTGCAGTTAGTCCGTTGGCCGCCACTGAGCCATTTGGAATTCTTGGCAAGGATTACTGTTGCCAGTATGAGAAGTGTTCCAACCCCAGGGTGTGGCCTGCCCTGAGATAGATCCAGAAAAACTGAAGTGAACTGCATGGCAGTTCATGGCAGTTGGGCTAATTGTGAAGTCTGACCTAGTTGGCTTACCCCCAAAGACTCCCTCAGCACCCTCATCCTCTTCTCAACTCTCACTCACTCCATGCACAGCGCTAACATAACTTCCTGCAGGCCACATTTTTAGTGTATTGCCCTCTGATTCAGCAAATATCATGGGTCCCTATTATTTTGAAAAACTCATAGAGTCAAATCCATCATCATCTATTGCAGTTTAATGAAGAAAAATTAACAGAGAGCAGAGAGGATGCAAAGCAGAGTTTATATACAAGTGGACAATAGGTGGTAATGGATGGGTGAAGGGCTCAGGGACAAACTCCTAAACTGAAGATGTCTACCTGGGCCCCTTCTTGGCTTTGAGCCTCCAAGCATATGAGAGTATAGTATCACCAGCCCTGGGGAGAGAGGAGCAATTGTAGAGAGGTGTGGCTAAAGGTAGGGGAAATTTGTACAGTCATGTATCAGGGCCCAGTCTCAGTATTTGATGCAGGAGCGCTGGTCACTCCTAGCAGTGGTCTGCATAATACTAGCTGAGGAGGAGGAGGAGCTGCCCAGTCTGGAACTCTGATCCATGGATGTGCTTGTGCTTCTGGACTGGATGCCCTTCCTCACACTGGTGAATGCACAGTCCCCTTGGATGCCCTGGTCACTTCTGTTGCCCCAGATGCCATTGCTGCCGCTGCGACTGCTGCCCCCAGCACTAATGCTCTTGTTGCCAGATGTGTGGTTGACCACAACTGCAATGAGAATGGGTTGTTCAATGCCATCTGTCTGTCTGTCTGTCTAAATGTCCATTGCATGCATTCCTATCTAAGGAATGAGTGGCAGAGAAAATCCAAAAAGAGGAAAATCATATATATATATATGTATATATATATATATATATATCCATGGGTGGAAGTTCTTTATCTGAAGGCAAATCCAGGACATACTCTGCACAGGACATTCGATAAGTCCTACCCAAATATGGATCTCCCTTTGCCCCTCCCTTTCTTTTACTCTGGCAATCAGGCTATAGAAAAAGCAATTTTTCTGAAGAGCTGAAGCAAAGTCATGAGAAATCATGTCAAACACTAGAAATGGAATGCATAAGATACTCACGGATGCACACTGGGCAAAACTGGAATAATATACTTCTTTTTCAGTTTGTTGAGAAGAGTGAACTAAGCCACAAAGAATGTCTAGCACAGTGTCTGGCCTATACCAAAAGTGACACAGCTCTTATCTGTGCCAGAGATAGAGAGGCAAAGAAGAGTGACTGGTGTGGAGGGAAGTGGAAACCAGTTTGGAGAATAAGAGCATCAGGCTGATAGGACAACCTACTATCTATCTGTATTCTCCACCATATCAGGATTGGCTGGCATTGGCCTTTGGGGTGTACTACTTGCCTGTTAGGAAGCTTTAAGTATTCCGCTCTAACAAAGTTGGTGTTCCTGAGCCCAAAGAGGTGAGTGCTAGACAGTATAATTCAGTTATTCAAGCATTTGTGGAGACCCTATTTTGTCCTCTGCCACTGTGTCTAACCAAGGACCATAAAATCATTTGAAACTTGATTCTCGAATTGTCCTCCTTGCCTTAGCCAGAGTCCCTACCCACCTGCACTCCTCACCATCCAGCATCTTCTGGTAGGTGGCGATCTCCACATCCAATGCCAACTTGATGTTCATCAGTTCCTGGTAGTCAAGCAGGAGATAGGCCAAGTTTTCCTGGGCCTGCTGCAGGGCCTTCTTGAGCTCTGCCAACTTGGCCTGGGCATCTTTGAGTGTCCATTCACCCTGTTGTTCAGTGTCAGCAATTGTCTCCTGCAGGTTAGTATTCTGAAGGAGGAGAGAGAAGAGAAGGGTTAAATCTCTAAAATCACCTGGGCACATGGCAGGTGACCATGCTAACTCCTTCTGCCCATATCACTCATATTCATGTAGCTACATGATGCTAGGAAATTCCAATGGTCATTTGAATCCTTACCCAGAGATCCCAGAGATATTGATCACCTGCTTCCCAATCTCTTAAAGGGGTATAATCTATGGTATGAAACCCCAGAAACTCAGTCCCACATATTTCATGGAGCCTTGGGGCCACAACAAATGAAATGAGGGAAGATCATTCTATCTTGAAGATGATGGGTAAGAATAAAGGTAACATACATGAAGCCATCACTCTATATGGTATTACCTGGGAAGCTCCATTGTAGCTTCCAATAAGGACCCAAAAGACTTTCCACCCTACTAGGTTCAGGTGTCCCACTGGCATCTCAGAGCACCACTGTTATCACAGTTACAATCCCAGGCTTTGGGGAGTCACACCCACCTGCATCTTGATGCTCTCGATCTTGGTCTGCAGCCTCTGGACCATCCTGTTGAGCTCTGCAATCTCATTCTTGGTGCTCCTCAAGTCATAACCATACATGTTGGCTATAGTCTGCAGCTCCCCAAGATGGAAGGTAAGGAGCAGATAGGGAGAAATTATCCCTAACCCTCAAATACATGTGTATGAAAAAGAGAATAGAAGTGCAGTCAATCCAGAAAGTCCTCATACTACACAGAAGTCCACCGGGCATTTAGAATGGAAAGGATCACTTAACTAAAAATCAAAGTTGCCCTTAAAGAAATCAGGCAGTAGAAAGGAAAACATTGTAAGTCATAGGTGTTTGTAAAAGATATTTTGGTGGGTTTCCACTGAACAAACTGCATTATCTGGGATGTTGCCAGGAAGGGCTGGAGGTGAAGGAGCAGGAGCCCTGGATAAATCTTGTTAGTCTAGACTAACTGTTGCAGGGACTCCTATTTACCTTGACCTCGTATAGCCCCTTGGCCTCAGCCTTGATCCTCTGGGTGATCTCTTCATACTGGCCCTTGACCTCGGTGATGATGCTCTCCAGGTCCAGATGCCGGTTGTTGTCCATGGACAGGATGATGGACATATCACTGGATTCTGACAGGACCTGTTTGAACTCCTACATGCACATAGGAACACACCATTGGGCAGTGTCATCATCTCTCTAGGATGCCCTAAACCTTCCAAGCATTGGCTCTGGAATGTTGTGGGGTCAAGAAAATTAAATCTTACTGGAGGGAAAGGAAGAGGACAAGACAGTGATCCAGAAACCAGGCAGTAAGAAAATTCCCAGCAGGCAGTATGGGATTGCCCTTAACTCTCCTTTTACATATTTCCCTTGAGAGCCTATGTACATGTGGATTCTAAAGGCATGGACTACAGATTCTGAAAGCCTGGAGCCATGGGAAGGAGAAGAGGGAGAACATAAGCAATATGATTAAGGAGGTGTAAAACTGAAGAAATGAAGAAGAAATAGGGATAAAGATGGGAAAGACTGCAAATGCCACTGCCAAATAGATTTCACAAAGGAAGCTGAATCCCCAGAATCAAGCAAGATTTGAGACCCTGTGTCATGGCTTCCACCCTACAGGACAGTATGAAGGTCCTTACAGCTTCAAAGAGGGCTCTCAGAAAGTTGACTTCACTGGTCAGGCTCTCCATTTTTATTTCCAAGTCCACTTTGGTCATGTAGGAAGTATCCACATCCTGAAAGTAAAAAACGGGGGCACCTGGGTGGCTCAGTGGTTTAAACCTCAGCCTTCGGCTCAGTTTATGATCTCAGGGTCCTGGGACCGAGTCCCGCATCAATCTCTCTGCTCAGCAGGGAGCCTGCTTCCCCTGCTCTCTCTGCCTGCCTCTCTGCCTGCTTGTGATCTCTCTCTGTCAAATAAATAAATAAAATCTTAAAAATAAAAAAGAAAGTAAAAAAAAAAAAACAGAGAATTAGCCTTCTTAGCTTCAGTATTATTCTCATTAGTTACCATTGAATTTAAAAACATTGGTATCATGTTTACATAGTTGAGGGACCAAAAATCATTTAAACCAAACCTTACACTTGTAGTAGAGAGTTTTGATAATTGAGCTCAGTGTTAGAAAAAATCACCACTACCCATTTTTGTAGCTTGGATAGTTAGGGTAGTAGTTATCAAGAGCTGCAATAAACTATAATGTGTAAGGACTGGCTCAAAGCAGTTTTGCAACTGTTGAGCCAAACACACTTGAGAGATATCCTAGCTACAGAAAACAAAAACAACAAAAAAACCCACCCACACACACACACAAACAGAAAGCCCTCAGGGCATAGGCTCAGATGCAAGGCTGGCGTTGTTCTGGCCATCAACAACAGGACAACATTTGGAATTCTGCTCTGGACAAAGTGCTAGCCAGTCTCACATCCCTGGGAAGATGCCACCATCCCCCCCCCACTTCCCTTGTGCCATGGGAGGACCCTGTGACAGCTTGTTCTTCCCCACAGGCCTGCTCACCTTCTTCAGAAACATGAAGTCATTCTCAGCCTCTGAGCGCTTATTAAGCTCATCATTGTACCTACAAGGAAGGAGAGAGGTCATGTTCGAGGGTGACTGAGCCAAGTGTATGTGCCCATGTGCCCAGAGAAAGGTCTTTATTCCAGAGGGTGGTCTGTAACCTAGGGCAGAGATGTAGGTGACTATTCCCTGGATAAGACCAAACTAAAGCCAGTTGAGTGGCGTGCTTTATTAAAATGGTAGGGCCTTTAAGAGCACACTGGCACCCCATTTCTGACACTCCAGAATATTGGAAATAGAAGATAAACCAAGTGATGGAATTGGCACATAAACCCTGGTGTCCTTGGGCAACACATTCATTCAGATCTCTGAATTCTCTACTGCAAGGACTCAGGCTAGTCCTCATGAACAAAAAACCTGTGGTCGCTCCCAACGCCACCTCCCACCTACACCTGAAGGTCCCAGCTGTTCCCTTCTCCATCTGTGTCCCACATCCCCTTGAATCTCCCTCATCACCCAGCACAAACGCATTGTCTAACTAGTCTTCACTCTTGGCAGTATGTTGGAATCACCTGAGGCTCTATAAAAGCTACCCAGTGCCTGGATCCCATGCCTAGAAATTCTGATTCAATGAGTCATGTGTGCAACCTGGGCATACAGAATTTATAAAGCTTCCAAAGTGATTCCGGTAAGCAGCACAGTGTAAGACCCACTGTTGTCGGGGCACCTGGATGGCTCAGTGGGTTAAAGCCTCTGCCTTCAGCTCAGGTCATGAGCCCAGGTTCCTGGTATCAAGCCCCACATCAGGCTCTCTGCTCAGCGGTGAGCCTGCTTCCACCCACCTGTCTCTCTGCCTGCCTCTCGGCCTGCTTGTGATCTCGATTTGTCAAAAAAAAAAAAAAAAAAAAAAAGACCCACTGTTGTTAATGCCAAAGTGCCTGATATCTATCTCTGTCTAAAGGGGGCCCCCTTGAAGCCCACACTCTGACATACATTTCATTCTCCTTGGCGCCAACACAAATATCAAAAGAGAGCAGATCCTCCTTCATCAGACCCGCATCCTGACACCCCATCCTGCGGCCTACAGATTCCTTGAGGACATGCACAAACAACTTCCCAGCCAAAAAGCCTCCACACCTCCTGACCTGACCACAATCACTTAGACCCAGTGGCTGCTTCCCCAGCACCTCCATCACTCACTTCCTCTTATACTCCTCCACAGGTGTTTGCATTGTGCTCAGTTCCCCATCTAGCTGACCCCGCTCACTCAGCAGCCTATCCAGGTAGGCCTGGAGGCAGCTGGTATAAGACTCAAAGAAAGGTTGCAGGTCATTGGCGCTGGCCCTGGAGATTGTCGATTGTTCCTGCAGGAGGCACCACTTGGTCTCCAGCACCTTGTTCTCCTGCTCCAGGAACCGCACCTGTGGTCAACCAGGGAGCAGAGGTCATGGCCTACCCAGCCTCTGGTTCATGGGCAGACCCACAGCCCCAGCCTATGCCTCATGTTTCCAGGCCCCCCTCCCTACCATGATCCCTCACCTTGTCGATGAAAGAGACAAACTTGTCATTAAGAGTCTTGATCTGTTCCTTCTCTTGGGTCTTCATCTCCCTGATCTGAGGGTCAATCCCCATGTTCTGGGGCTGAAGGAGGCTCTGGTTGATGGTCACCTCCTGGATACTGAGGGGAAAGCCCCCTGAGCCCCCAAGGCCCAAAGCTCCTCCAGGAATCCTTCCCAAACCACCAGGTCTTCCTCCATTGCTAATGGAGCCTCTTCCAGAGCTACCTCTCATGCCCCTTCCTCCAGCCCCACATAGACTCCCTCCAAAGGCACCCGAGCAACCCCATGCTGAGCTCCCAGTCTGGACAGCACCTCTGGCCACACTGAGCAAGACCTTCTTGCTCCCCCGAAGACTGTACAGGCTCTGGCTGCCAAAGGTACCCCCTACCATGACACAGGCTGTGGAGGTCCTGCCTCCTCCCGAGCATGAGGCTGACTGGGACTTAGTGGGGGCTGATACAGCTCTGGCCAGACACCACAACAGTAGAGCAGCCCCTAGAGCCCTTGGTGGCCTGGGACAGCCTGCTGGACTGCTGGCTCATCATTTTCTCTGGGCACGGGAAGATGTCTTGGGTCAGAAGCCTCTGAGGAAAGGGCACCTTCTACAGGGGAACAGGTGGCCCTTTTTATAGGCTCCAGTGAACTGGTTCATTTCCAGAGTTTCATTCACTGGCTACAACTAATCCCCACACCAATTTCCTTTGCTGTAATCCCAGAGTCTCCATTTCAAGTCTTTCCTGTAATTAGCCTTGTGCAGAATTTGTGTACTACCAAACCAGGGCCCTCCCTTGATGAATGAGGTTGGTTCCTGCCAGGCATGGCCCAGTCCCAGGGCCCCAGGCATCAGCTTCTCAGGAGGCAGCAGGTTCAATTAGGTGACTCTGTGGCTTTTTCATTCCCCCAAAACCCTGGGCGTCCTCTCGTATCGCTAAGCTGTCTGCCTCCCAGAATGAATGAAGCGCACGCAGATTCTTGTGTTTAGGAGAGACAGAGTGGAGAGTGAGCTCCCTCCTACCTGTAGCACCTCCATATCTCACAGTGTGTATCCATGGAACTCACCAGAAAGCCTCCGTTGGTTTGTCCCTGGCTCTGTGACACAAGCAGCTCCTCTGATATCCCAGTCACAGAGGGGCAGGTGTCAGGCGAGAATGTTCCAGTCTGACCCAGAGGCCTAAGTGAGTGGACTAGATACTAGACACATTCATCTGAGCCTTAGCACTGTTCACCATTGGGGTGACCAAGATAATTCTAATGTCCCCTTCTGTCTCCCCTGGCTCCCTGCATGGTGTTATTGCTCCTGTCCAACTTGCTGCCCAGGTGGACCCACATCCCCTATTTCACTCCCACACCAGGTCTCTTCCTCTTTCAAATATGCCTCCTCGATCCCCCTTCCAGGAAGCCTCCCCCTTTCAGGCTCTTGTGGTTCCTACTGTCTGCATTCCCTTCCTTCTTCTTCCCTACATGAAGGCTGTAGCCCTGTCCCTTTGACAATAGGCACCATGAGAGCTGGGTCTTATCTGTCTGGTCCAACAGTACCCCCATCGCCCAGCACAGTGCCTAGTCCGTCGTGGGCTTACAGGTTTTGTAGAATGAATGGCTTCCCAGCTTTTCCTACTTCTGGTACTGCCCCTCTATGTGGGTCCCTATATGTGTCCCACCTCCATCATCACACTGGACAAGAAAGCCTTGTCCCTTAAGACACTCACCCATCGAATCCATCTCTTACCCCAAGCTCAGGACAAAGCCCTGTAACTGTGAGCTCAGGAAAGTGTTTTAAGACACAAACTATTAAATTAGCTGCCATTTGTATGTATGGCTTCCCTCTCTGCTAAAAGTGCCACCTGTGTATCAGGCCCATTTTAAGTGTATAAGAAATGCAACCAGATAGCCCACAGGTGGGTGAAAGGACCCAAATGATCAGAAGGCCTTGAACCTCCCTTGAACTCCTACACTCTATTACCCCTCTTAAACCCCCACACATCCCACCTTGGATGCTTGTGGTGAAAGTCTGACCCCCTTGGGGGGCCGGGGAGAGAGGCTCCATTGTCCTCAAAATAAACAAAAGATGGATGATTCCATTAAGAACTCCACACTTGCGGTAATAGCAATAGCCATCCTAGCTACAAGGAGAGATCAGAATCTGGTGGTTTCTGGTGAACACGGGCCAAGGAAAAGGACACAAAACAGTGAGGGGATGGGGAAGGCCTTCCCTACAGAGCAGTTAGAAGTGCTGGAGCACTCCTGGCTGCTGTAGCATCTCCTCTAGAAGGAAAGGAAGTCATGATTGGGTGTCAGACACAAGTCCACTGCCATCTGACCCTGTGTGAGGGACTTGAGTACCTTCTAGTTACATGTGGTAGAAGGAAGGAAGAAAGAAAAAGAAGGAGGGAGGGAAGGAGGGGAGGGGATAAAGAGAGGGAGGGAGCAGATGGAGGGAGGCAGACAAGCCCAAGTGTACTACAGTTTACAGAGTTCCTCCTGCCTCTGGTAGGAGCTTACACTAGGCTTGGAACACACATTTGTTCAACCTTGGCATCTGCATGGACCTAACACCATGCCTTGCCTCTACAGACAGCACCATGGGAATAGCTCATGGGATGGCAAGTCAGTTCTCAAAGATGTGTGGGAAGCATATTCACTGCAAGGCATATAAGACAGCATGAGAGCTAAAGTTTAAACAAAAGCGGGTCTATCCAGCATTTATTAAGCATCTATTATATCATAAAATAAGGAGTTCTAAGAGGCAGTCTGACACTCTTACTCAGAACACAAGACATGCGCAGATGGAGCCACATGTATACTGCAGTTACAAGAGGGGATGGAATTGGGAACTGTGGTGGGACGTTAGCCATGGAAGGCTTCCCCGAGGAAGCCAATTTGAAGTAGACAGACAGTATCCCATGTTAGGATGAAAAAGACTTGCAAGAACCAGTCTGTGCAGCAAACATTATAGCGAAGCAAGATCATCAGAAGCTACTGAAAGCAACAAAGGGGAGCATGTTATATACAAGATGCAGGGGCATGTGCCAGCCTGACCCATTGCGTGGGAAGAAATTATGCTGGTCATGGCAACCTGGCAAACTGTGGTGGGTCATGGAATTGGACGTGGTTCACTTCTCCCCCCAAAGACCCATCCAGAGCCTCTAGTCTCTCCTTGCTCTCCCATCCACTCCTACATCGCTGCCAACATGATCTTATGCAAATACCACTTTCAACATGTCACTCTCCTACTCAGAAAATGACTAGGCTTCCTGTTCTAGAAGAATGACCTTCTCTTGACCTGTAACACCCTTCCACCTCTGCCCCTTGTTCCCTCCTTCCTCCTTCATGCCTCACTTTATTATTAAGGCCTTACCACTCCTTCCAAACCAATTTCTTGCTATTGTTTGGTGGGAAGTTGGGCAAAACGACCTCTGAGTTTTCTTCCACACTTGGGGTTCTGGGATCCCATGATGCTCCCACACTTTCCCTCACCATCATCCTTGGAGAGGTCCACCTCTGAGAGCATGACCCACCCCACATCCTGGCCTGGGGATTCCTTGATCTTCTCAGTTATACTCATCTTCCTCCTCCACCTCAGCCACACACTCAGGGCCATGCCCTTGATCATCACAAAGAACTGTTCCCTCTTGGAAGCTTAAATATCAAATCCCCACTCTCTGGCCACAACCTTTCATCCTTCAGCTTATTTTCACCTACCTCCCACCACACCTGCTCTTTATTCTTATAAATACTCCCATTGTCTTCATCCCTTCATTTTCTCCCAGTCTGTTAGCCCTCTCCTGGCCTCTTTTCCTGTTCTTCCCAATCTAAGTAGTATTCATTCAACAAATACTTTTTTTTTTTTCAGCGTTCCAAAATTCATTGTTTATGCACCACACCCAGTGCTCCATGCAATACATGCCCTCCATAATATCCACCACCAGCCTCAACCAACCCCCCATTCCACTCCCCTCCAAAACCCTCAGTTAGTTTTTCAGAGTCCACAGTCTCTCATGGTTTGTCTCCGCCTCCGATTTCCCCCAAATCACTTCTCCTCCCCATTTCCTAATGCCCTCCATGTTATTCCTTATGCTCCACAAGTAAGGAAACCATATGATAATTGAACCTCTCTACTTGACTTATTTCACTCAGCATAATCTCTTCCAGTCCCATCCATGTTGATACAAAAGTTGGGTATTCATCCTTTCTGATGGAGGCATAATACTCCATTGTATGTATGGACCATATCTTCTTTATCCATTCGTCCATTGAAGGGCATCTTGGTTCTTTCCACAGTTTGACGATGGTGGCCATTGCTGCTATGAACACTGGGATACAGATGGCCCTTCTTTTTACTACATCTGTATCTTTGGGGTAAATACCCAGTAGTGCAATTGCAGGGTCATAGGGTAGCTCTATTTTTAATTTCTTAAGGAACCTCCACACTGTTTTCCAACTTGAATTCCAACCAACAGTGTAGGAGTGTTCCCCTTTCTCCACATCCTCTCCAACACTTGTTGTTTACTGTCTTGTTAATTCTGGCCATTCTAACTAGTGTAAGGTGGTATCTCAATGTGGTTTTGATTTGAATCTCCCTGATTGCTAATGATGATGAATACTGTTTCATGTGTCTGTTAACCATTCATATGTCTTCTTTGGAGAAGTGTCTGTTCATGTCTTCGGCCCATTTTTTGACGTGATTATCTCTTTTGTGTGTGTTGCATTTGAGGAGTTCTTTACAGATCTTGGATATCAGCCTTTTGTCTGTAGTGTCATTTGCAATTATCTTCTCACATTCCGTGGGTTGCCTCTTTGTTTTATTGACTGTTTCCTTTGCTGTGCAGAAGTTTTTGATCTTGATGAAGTCCCAAAAGTTCATTTTCACTTTTGTTTCCTTTACCTTTGGAGACATATCTTGAAAGAACTTGCTGTGGCCAATGTCAAAGAGGTTACTGCCTATGTTCTCTAGGATTTTGATAGATACCTGCCTCACATTGAAGTGTTTTATCCATTTTGAGTTTATCTTTGTGTATGGTGTAAGAGGATGGTCAAGTTTCATTCTTCTACACATAGCTGTCCAATTTTCCCAGCACCATTTATTGAAGAGACTGTCTTTTTTCCACTGGATATTTTTTCCACTTTGTCAAAGATATTTGACCATAGAGTTGCGGGTCCATATCTGGGCTTTCTACTCTGTTCCACTGGTCTATGTGTCTGTTTTTGTGCCAGTACCATGCTATCTTGGTGATCACAGCTTTGTAGTAAAGCTTGAAGTCAGACAATGTGATGCCCCCAGTTTTGTTTTTCTTTTTCAACATTTCCTTAGCAATTTGGGGTCTCTTCTGGTTCCATACAAATTTTAGGATTGTTTGTTCCAGCTCTTTGAAAAATTCTGATGGAATTTTGATC